ACAAAGATGCTGAAGGGTGAAAGGGATACAATTCTATCTCAATTAAAATACGGAAATGAATAAATACAAGGGACAATTATTGTAAAAGGAAATAGTTAAATAAAATATAAAATGTAAAATTCCTGTTGGACAATTCAGAAACTGTGTCATTTCAGGTTTCTCACTTGTTGATTTTTTCCCCTCTCTCACTGCATGGTGTCTCCTTTCCATGGTTCAGGCCCTACAGCATTTAGAATTTTATCATGAACATAGTGAGTGTCATGAGTAAACTCTGTGTTATGTTTTTTTGCTTTGATAGTGTTTTGCTGTGATTTATTTCCTTAGACTGTATTGTCAAATGCTATACCTGTGGTGATCTGTGGCTCATGCACTCAGGCCTCAGCAATGAGGTAAGCCTAGTTTGCCAGATCCTGTCTAGCTCACTGTCACCCATGGCCCTGTAGAGAGCATGTGCGTGTCTTTAAGTATCTTTCTCCTACTTTGTCTTTTAAAGTGTGTCTTTCTTACTCTCTGATAGCCCAGCATGACCAGTGCCAGCTGTTTTCCCTAGCCTCTCTAGTGCTCCTGTGAGAGTGAGTCTGCAGTGCCCAGGGCCATGACTGTTGAACCTATGACTGCAGCTGCAACTGGTGGAAACGGGGACATTTTGATTTGGCAACTCATTTGATTCTCCCTTACAAACAGAGTGCTTTTGTTAAGAGACCAACGTTGTACCTATTTTATTTTGTATTTTGATATTTGTGGAAGGATTATAAAGTTAGGGATTATTGTTGTATGTAGGAAATGGAAGGAAAACTGGGCATTTGAACACAATAGTTATATGATACACTTTCCTGTTTAAATTTCTTTTATACATTTCCATCACATGTGGAATATATGTCAGTTGTTTTTGTTTATTTGTTTGTTTTTGACTTCTTATCCCACACTTTGGCCCAAACAGTCTTTTTGATCTTTAGGCATACCAAGTATCTCTACCTCAATTTCTTGTCCCAGGTGTTTTTGTCTTTGGTTATGGTATGATCTTCCACTTCATCTTTGAAATTCTTAAGGACTGCTCTTTCTAATGCTCCATCTTCATCACATCAAGCTGTAGCAGTTTATCTTTTATTTTGATTTTCTTTAACAGTAAAAATACTTTATTTCCATAATACTTTCCTAGTCATTTAAGCTTAAGACCAATGGTAAACAGATGTAGTGTTTAAAAATTTTTATCCATGATTGAATCCCCAGTACAGAAAACAATAGTACATATTTAATAAGGTCTAGAAAATCAGGCACATAATGAGTTTGAATTCTAGGTCAGGCAGATGGACAAGATAGCTCAAAGACTGAAAATTTCTTCCAAACTAACTGTTCACAATGGAAATGAAGATATTTCAATAGGCTGCATCCAAGACAAATCATAGCGAGCAGGTTCTTTATCACCGAGCACTCTTATAGAAAGCACATGATTGCCACTATAGTATAAAGAGAGATTAAAGTTGGAACAGTCCGCTTATATAAAATGAGGAATGTCAGGTGTGATGATTCATGACTGTAATTCCTGCACATGAGTAACTGAATTGAGAGGATTCCAAGTTCACGACCAGCCTGGGCTACATAATAAAACACAGGCTCAAAAATAAAACAAGGCCTCACCCCTAAGATGGAGAATTATGAGCAATTAATGACTGCTAAGAGAGAGAGACTCAATCTGTTCCAGCAACAAGCACCTGATAATTTATCCAATCCCCAAAAGTCAGCCTCAATCACAAATACATGTGAGCAATACTAAATGAACTCAGGGTATGGCTACATATATGTAACAAAGCATATATGTGGACCACAAACATAATAAACAAGTAAAACAAAACAACTAGATAAGCAGGGAGAAAGGAGAACTGATTTAGATGCCTTAGAGATGACCACTTCTCAGTAAGTGATAGAGACATCACTCCCATTACTTTAATCATCCAAGTGTCATCTTTGTTATGAAATTTACTTGAATTCCAAATTATGGGAAATAAATACTTCTTTAGCTCTCCTTGCTATGTTATGTGTATATACATTTTGTCTACAGTAAGACTCAAGCTTTAGGGAGACAATAGCTTTGTCTTACACAACCTTACATCCCCAGGCATGAGTATAGTACTTGGAATAGAGCAGACATTCAATACGTATTTGTATCCAAATTACCAGTCTGTATAAGCAGTTGAAACCCTAGAGAAGATTATTTTTTTTTCATTAAAAAATGGATAAGCTCAAGCATAAAATAATGTTTAAGCATTTTGCTTGTTTTATTCAGGAGAAAAAAAACCATTGTATTGACTGGAGTTTCGGTTAGTGAGTGGCGCTGCTCTGCAGGCAGGCTGCACTAGCTACTCTTCTATTGATTTGATAAAACATCATGACTCTGTGGTGATACTGTGTTCCCCAATATATTGTGCACCCTAATAAACTTATGGAGGCAGAGATCCATCGGGATCTCTGTGAGTTCAAAGTCACACTGGAAACAGTCAGGCATGGTGACACATGCCTTTAATCCCAGGAAGTGATGGTGGGAAGCAGAAAGGTACATATGGCATGAAAACCAGGAACTAGAGCAGGTTAAATTTTTTAGGCTTTTAGCAGCAGTTCAGCTGAGATTCATTCCAGATGAGGACTCAGAGACTTCCAGTCTGAGGAAACAGGGTCAGTTGAGCAGTTGGTGAGATGAGGTTAGCTGTGGCCTGTTCTGTCTCTCTGATCTTTCAGTGTTCACCCCAATAGCTGGCTCCAGGTTTGTTTTTATTAATAAGACCTTTTAAGATTTGTGCTACATGACTCTTCTAGAAGAAATACTTTATTTCGGCCTATGAATCCAGAGAGATTAGAGTCCATGGTGATGGAACAGAGACATGGTAGATAGAGATGGAAGCTAAGAGCATACATACATCTTGAACTCCAAGCGAAAAGCAGAGAGAGTGAACAGGAAATGGTAAGTCTTTAACTCTCAAAGTCGAACTCCAATCACATATCTTTTCCAATAAGGCCATATTACCTAAGATATGTCTTAGTTAGGTTTCTATTGCTGTGAAGAGACACCATGACCATGGCAACTCTTTTAAAAGGAAACATTTAACTAGAGATGTCTTACAGTTTAGAAGTTTAATCCATTATCATGGTGGAAGGCATGGCAGCATGCAGGCAGACAAAGTACTGGAGAAGGAACTGAGAGCTCCACATCTGGCAGTCAGCAGGAAGAGAGACACTGGTCCTGGCTTGAGTTTCTGAAACCTCAAAGCCCACCCCTAGTGACACATTTCCTCTGACAAAGCCAAATATCCTAATTATTTCAAATAATGCCACTCCATATGAACCTATTGGGACTATTTTCACTAAAACCATCAGAGACTCCCAAAACAGTGCCACCAACTAGAACCCAAATACTTAAAAAATGAAGACTATGGGAGATATGTTACTCAAATCACCACTCACAGCTCTAACCAGAATTGCATAGAACATATATGTTTAGCCCTCCACAAATTTTCCTCTAAGGAAAATGTGAGTTGGGTATACTGGTTCAATTCTATGATCCCTGCAACTAGAACCTGAGATAGGAAGATTGCCACGCATTTGAGACCATCCTGGGCTAAATAGTAAGGCTCTTTCTAAAAACATAAAAATAAACATGTTTTCATCCCCAATTTCTCCCCCCACAGTTTACCCAGGAGATCTTATCAATTTTCCCTTCCTAGGGTGATCCATGTGAGGAGGGATGGGGAACTGTAGTTGATGTGTAAAATGAAAAAAAAAATAAAAATAAACATCATGGCTTTATATTTAATTCACTGCTTGGCACTTATTCATAAGTCTGTTTTAAAGTTATTTAAAACACATAACTGATGTTCATGATATACAATACCAATAAAATTTTAGAATGCAAATCCTTTCTTATATGATCAAAACAGGCAGAATTATGTTGGCCATTTTATGATATAGCATTTCAAATTATCATTAGAGACATGCAATATAACTGTTAAAATCCATTCACTAATGAGAAAACCAAAATGTCCATGAGCTAGTAAATTACTGAACAGAAAACCAAACTTGCTTTTTCTAGTGATAGATCTATATTAATATGTAAAAGATTTCACAAAGTGTTACAACAACTTTAGTTTTGTGCTATCCAGTCAGATTTAGACACAATATATATGGCTGGTAGTTATTTTATAGTTAGGTTATATAGTTCATTAATATCAATAATATGTAATTAACAAAATGGGGTAAAATAAAACAATATCATGTAAAATAAAATACCACAAATTCATTATATCATCTGAGGTAGCTTATTCTCTATGAGTCACTGTGTAAGTTGCTAATGAGGAATTAGAGTCTGTATTGAGCTTATTCAGGCAGTCGAATGCAGGCTATACTATTCCACAGTTCTGGATGCAGTGGTTTGAAATTATCCTCAAAGATAAGTTCGGGCCATGTGTCTATGGCTATTTGAAGGTCACATGCTATATTCTCTTAGTTATTATGGAGCTGATATTTCACTCCTGGAATTTATGCAACATCAATCTACCAGCATATTTAATGATTATTTCTTGTTAATGTGCTGAGTAAACAGCTAATGCTATCTGTATTAACAGTGTCATTAACACTGCTAAAGCTTGTCTGATAAATGTCACTTCCTAAATACTGCCTATAGTTTAAATCAGAGTAGCAAATGCACAATTAACCTGAACAGGGGAAAAGTGCCCACTCAGCACCTTAGAATGGATTAAGTTGAGTTATGACTCATCTAATTTTGCAAAGTCGCCATAAAAATGAGCTTTTCATTTTGCAGAAGTATAGCTGGGATTTACAGCAGATGATTAAGATAAGGATGAAAAATAACTTTTGCATCTTATCAGAACAGGAGAGTTTTATCCTGGCCATGAATTTTTCCCTCTGTAGATTTCATCCATCAAAGAAATGTCTCCACAAGTTGTCAAGATCCCAGCTGTTCCCCAGGGACCTCTACAAGTGTGACTTACCTTGTGAAAGTTTCTGAAATAAGCTGCCTTTTCATCTGGAAATTTTTCTAGCCTTCTAGGTCCCTTGCTAGAAGCCTTCTTAAAAACCAACCAGCATCGTCTGAAAATCTGAAACAAATAAAGGAATCTGATTATCCACCCTTTCCTATGAGTTTACTGGCACTTGAGGTTTTATCTATTCAACTAATCCATTAGGAATGAGTTTGCAAAACTCCATTTGCTTCAGAGTAACTTCTTTAAAGGAGAAGTGTGTGACTAATAGAAATTACAGCACAATTAAAAACAATGTATCATGCAAAATTCAATGTGTTAATCTGTTGGTTTTAATCATCTTTAATATAAGTAATCACTTGGTTGTCAATACTGCATGCATGATGGCAATTCTTTATTTCGTATCCCACCGCAGTGTGAATTTATCAGGTTAAGTGAAATAGATACATACACAACTTCAGGATTTTCAACAAATGGTCATAATATAATTTAGAAAATAGTAAGAAATATAGTTTTATACAGGGCATATCCAATTCCCTGGTTTTATAGTAGCTAGAATATACTAAATATTTATTACGTAAAATATATTTTAAAATTTAGATACACATTTAATACTGAAAACTACTATTTTTAAACAAGTACTATTATGTTCATTTTTGATGAAGCTAAGAGGCAGGTCAAGGCTTGAATACATGTCTTCCTGAATCTTTAGTTTTAGCATTTAAAATTACCGTTAATTATGTAAGCTGACTTTATCATTTTTGAACATTATATAGAAATAATCAACACCAAGCTTTTAGATTGTCATCTCAATTTTACATGTTCTCCTTAGGTATGTTGAAAAGGAAAGAAGTAAAACACATTTTTTTTTTTTGCTTTCTAGTAATTGAACTTGCTTGGTAATTTGAAATTTCCTCAACTCTTTAATTTCTAAATTTAGCATATTTTATTTCCTGGAGAAAATTTCTCCACTAGCATGAGGAGAAATTTCATCAGAGGCAATTTCAGAAATCTCAGTGAGTGTGTTTCTATTCTGTGTCTTTATTCAAAGCCCACAGTTGTCACAATCCTCTTTTTGCTAGTAGAAGACATACAGTGTAATTCTTTCAAATTATTCCCAGGAACATTGTTTCTTACTCATTGAAAGACAGTATTTTTCATGTTAAAAGGCACTCTCAGAGCAATCACAAACGAATTTCCCCACTATAGCAAAGTAAGTAGAATAACAATGTGAACACTTATTCCCACTGCTCCTGCTATCTTTCTTAGATCTTCTGCTATAGTTTTTAAAAATACATCAAGAATGATGTTGAGCTCCAACACACAACAGCATGTCTTTCAATCTCTGGGATTAGCTATATCTTCCTTAGTGAAGGGATAATAGCTGTATAACTGTAAATGAAGAACTGCTCAGTTTCTTTAGAACTGTATTGGTGTGCTTTGATACATTGTGTTTAGCACATGACACTGTAGTTCTTTGTTAGATCTTTAACAATGCCCACTTCCAAAATGAAACTGTTAATGATTACAATATGGGATCAGAATATGATTTGTTTAGCTCCAATTAATGAATTTTAGTCATTTTTACCCTACCCATTTCTCTTTCTCATCTCTGTCATTCTTCTGCTGAAATCTTTCTTCCCAGCAAATCCCTTTCTATTTGCATGTCTTTTTTGAATGTGAGACTCATTAAGCTTAATTAGTTTCTTTTCTCAGCATGGGTGGGAAGTTATTTACTGGAGCAAGGGCAAATTACCAATGGCTACAGAAGTGAAAAAAAATGGCACCCTCTCTCTCAGAAAAACATACACGGGCAGTAATCCCTCAGGGAGGCTTAGAACCTCATGAGTTCCTCCCCTAATCATGACAATATATATGCAAAGTTGTAACATATAAAAAAAGATGACTAGATTGTGAAAAAATGGTGAAGCTTTTGTATTTTTATTGTAGCTCTTTTATTGACTCGTCACACAACTTCAGCAGATTATTTAGTGCTCAGCTAATGAAGAGGGTATTGCATGAAATTGAGGGGGGAATTTAACAAGATGGGCAAAGTTTTAGTGTAGAGAAAATTCTCCACCAGATCCTACCCTGCTTTTAGGCTACTTTATCTTACTAGGCACTATTCACTATACTTGGCAAAGGTACACATAGTAACACTTTTTTTATTGTATGAGTTGTGGTTCTAACATTATCCAAAAAGAACAGTCAGATACAAATATTCTGTGTTAGCTTACCATTTTAAAAATTTCAAATGGTGCATAGAAAATAATTTTAATGATCTCCCAAACATGGGCTTTGGATTTAACAAAATGTACTTGAAATTCCAGTTTTCATCTTGTTAGACACACAAAATTTAGACAGACCACCAAGCCCTCTAGGCATGTGCCCTTAAATTAGTCAGGGGAAAAGAATGTTTCAAACTTAGGGTTAATGTTAAAGTAAAAAGAAACTAAGTATGTTAATACATTTCCACAGTGCATACAGAGACATCATTGACTAATACAGGGCAGCCATATATAAAACAGAAAGTAATGCTCTTAGCACAGCCTTGGTTAACACTTCTGAAAAACATGCATCTTTACCTCTACTTTGTTATAAAAACTGGCTTGTACAAATACAATTTTAAAGGTCTCACATGATTCTGATAAGAAATTGAATTGAATATATATGATCAATAAACACAGTGTTCCAATGTTCCAATGAATACAAATATCAGCTCATATTAATATTTTATGATGGTTCAAATATGTTGAGCAGTGTAAGTGTGCATGCTTGCATTTAGTAATGCATACTAAAAAATGAAATTTATTCTCTTCTTAAAATTACTCTCTTCACAAAATAACATGAAGTAATTTTGTACTAAGAAATCACTTCATTTAAGCTTTAATCAAACTGTTGTATTGAAATTTAAAGCACTGTACTGTGGTGTCTAAGAGCATAAACAACTTTCAGGTGAGGTTTTTATAATAATTAAATGTCTTGTTTCAAATAAATTATTTAATCTTATATCCAACTTTGTTTCTCATTCATATATTCATATGCATCTACTTCAGGAAGATGGGGGACAACCCCTTAGATTATAAGAGATGTCCTGAAGAAAATAGCTAGAGTGCATTTGAAAAGTAACCTATCCTCCTATCAGAAATTATTAGGGTTTGTGTACTGAGTTTTGTCTCTCCAAAATTCATACTCTGAAACAAGTGTGCTCTTATTTGGAGATATAATAGTGTTAGATGGGGTCATGGAGGTTAGTTTTGATGGAGGGATTGGTGCTTTCATGAGAACATACATGACCAGCATGCTTCCTCTCTTTCTGCTTATTCAAAAATCAGAGAGCACATAAGCACGTGTTGAGAAACCATAGTCTACCAGCCAAGAAGAAATTCTCACCAGAACCCAACCACATGGGCACCCTAGTCTCAAATATGCATCCTGCAGAACAGAGAAAGAAGGGATTTCTGTGGTTCAGGCTACCTAACGCCTGATATTTTATTATGGTAGTTTAGACTCATTATTACAGATGCCATAGATAGATTGATAGATAGATAGACAGACAATAGATAGATAAGATGATAGATAGATAGATAGACAATAGATAAGATTATAGATAGATAGAATGATAGATAGACAATAGATAGAATGATAGATAGATGATAGAAGATAGATAGATAGATAGATGGATAGATAGATAGATAGATAGATAGATAGATAGATAGATAGATAGATAGATAGATAGATGATATTTTATTTGTAGCAGTGATAGGGTAGTACTTATGACAGTAGTTTAAGTGACAGTATTGTGGAAGTGAAAATCATTCCTATGAATCTGAGCAGAAATTGAACTCATCATAAGCAACAAATTTTAATATTATGTGCAAGGTGGGATGTATATAGATTATAAATACTTCTCCTAGTTTTCATGAATGCATTGAGAATCTTTCCTTGAAGGAAATTGACATGCAAATCTTCAGTAAAACGATTTTTGTTCTTTCCTACTGAGAAATGGTTTCCCCTGTGCTGTTGGTCATTTTATTGCTCACATCTTGGTAATCATCATAACAGCAAATGAAACCTTAAAATATTCATAGAAATCCAGATATATATATATATATATATATATATATATATATAGGCAGTACAATGTTCATTTTGTGTTACCATAACTAGTTTAATTTAAGAGGTGAGCTAAATATAAGCCAGAAAGTCTAAATGTTATTGTTTAAGCGTTCATTATTATTGCAGAACAGGTATTAACAAGTAAGATGATAGATTTAGCTATTTATCTAGTATCTTATCCTTTGGATATTACAACATTAACAGAGACAATCGACCACATACAAATGAGCCTAATTTTTAAAGGTTTCATGAAATAAACTGTTTGCCAGTTGAAAAATCTGTCACTTTGTTTTGGAATGGATTTGCTTTTTAAAAAAGTTCCAAAATTTATACATCAAGTTCCCACGTATTTGACCCAGTTTCTAATATTAAAACCCTAAAGAGACTTTGTATGGTTTTCACCATGAGGATATTCACATTAACAAAATACCAAAACATTTGCTAAAAATATTAAGAAAAACAAATTTTATCAGAATATAGCTTTATTTTCCTTAACCTGTTCTGTTTCTGGGACCAAGACCACATTCAAAAACTTTAATTTGTGATAATTTCTTAGACTTTCTGGATTCTGTTGTTTTTGTTCATTTGTTTTGTTTTTTAAAACCTTGAAAGTTTTGAAGTATACTAGTCAGTTAATTTCCTGCAGAATGCTTTAATTTCTGTTTGTCTTGTTACTTCTGATATCTAAAATTCTAGGGAAAATCTGTCATTAAAATATAATTTATTGAAGCCGGGCGGTGGTGGCACACACCTTTAATCCCAGCACTTGGGAGGCAGAGCCAGGCGGATCTCTGTGAGTTCAAGGCCAGCCTGATCTACAGAGTGAGTTCCAGGAAAGGCACAAAGCTACACAGAGAAACCCTGTCTCAAAAAACCAAAAAAAAAAAAAAATTATTGAAAAAATAATATGAATCAATCATGGCCATGGACTAATTATTTTTTAATATAATTTTTAAATGAAAATTTAAAATTGAAGAGAGAATCACTTAATAAATGTT